CCCTTTCTTTTTTCTTTGCTTTTCTTTTTTTTTTTTTTTTTTTTTTTTTTTTTTTGTGGTACTTGGGATTGAACTCTGGCCCTTACGCATGTGAGGCAGGTGCTTATGCCACTGAGCTATCTCTCCAATCCCCGAATTTTCCCTTTCTGTGGGCATTCAAAGTAATCTAAGCCTTGAAATTACTTTTTCAAGTCAGCTGGCATCTAATGTCATCTTTGATGCTAAGATTTGAAGAAGACATTGAGAGCAGATATTAGTATTTTGCAGCCAAGAGAGATTGTTGGACCTAATTTTTACAAAAGAAAAAAAGGAGCCTTGTAAGGTTGGAAAGCTCATATTCAAAAGAGTCACATGTTCATGAAAAGAGACCTTTTGATGTACCCTGGCTTTGGGGATAAGAGCCCAGCTCCGAGAGCAGCCAAGGAAAAGTCTCTGGAACATCTAGAACCAAGTGCTGCCTCAGTCGTTCATTAACAGTGCAGCGCTGGGCAAGGGCTTTGCTGGGCAAACTTCTATTTCTTAATTTGTAACATTAGGCTAATAAAGGCATAGGCCATCATATGAACCAAGTGAAAATGCACTCATTTAAAAAATTAAAATTTAGTGCTTCATTCACGTCATGGTTATGTTCCTGAATCTGTTTTACATATATTGTCCATTTCTGTTAGTCCTGTTAGTAGTATTAGTTCTACTTTATAGCTGAGGAAACTGAGGCTGAGAGGAATTAAGAAATACGCCTACCATCACACAGCCAGCAGCTAACTGTACCGTTAGGACCCAGATCTAGTTGCCTTGTTTGCTTTTGGTCTTTTTTTATTTTACTGTATTTTTTTGGTTGAATTGTTTTTAGGGGAGGTTTATTTTTTGTTTTTGGTGCCGAGGACCAAACCCAGGGCTTCCAGCTTGCTAGACAAGCATTCTACCTCTGAACCAAATCCCCAGCCCCAGGACCCAGATCTGGGGGACAACAGAAGCTCTCCTGCGTTCCCTGACGCTAGAGTAGCCTGGTGCAGACAACGTGGCAATGTCTACTGAGTAAATAAATACCTGTTATAAGGAAATAAAAAAAACCAGGCATCACTAGAAAGCTTTATAAACTTTTGAAAAGCAAATAAACCATTCGCTAAAGCCTCTCTGATAGGAAATAAGGAAATAAGCAAAGAAACTGGTACCTATAATTTTTTTTTTTCTTTTGAGACAGGGTCTCACTATGCAGTTTCTCACTTTTATAGCCCCAAGCCTAGTCCCGAACTCAAAGAGATCCTCCTGGCTCAACCTCCCGAGCACTGGGCTTACAGGCATACACCACCATGCCTGAGTAGAAACTGGTGTTTGAATATTGAAATTTGTTCATCAGAAAACATCTTTTGGACCCATGTAAAGGCACTCCACTCACCCTTGGTTTATTAATCAGGCACAGAGTTCTTTTTTTAAGAAAATCAAAGTTGCTTCCTAGAACATGTATAGACTTAAAGTATAGAAAGGCTTCTTCTGTAATTCACATGGACAGTACTTATTTTAGTTTTATTTATTTCTGGGCAGATAGCATAGTTTTAATGTACCTTATCTTGCTTTGATGTTTGTATTTGA